TTATTATTATTATTATTATTATTATTATTATTATTATTATTATTATTATTATTATTATTTTACTTCTTTTGAGACTGGGTCTCACAGTATAGGCTGGTCTAGAACTCCCTAGGTAGATCAGGCAGCTCAGAAACTCATAGAGATCTGCCTGCCTCTGCCTCCTGAGTGTTGGCATTAAAGACATGGGCTTTATCCAGCATTATTTTTATTTAATTTTTGAGAGAAAAGGAGGTATTGTGTATGTCACATTTGCCTTGAGCTCAGGATCCTCCTGTTTCACAGATAACTATATCAGTCATGTCTCTCTCTCTCTGTCTTCTTGGTTTTATTCTTTTCTTCTGTGGTCCTGGGTCTTCAGTGCTAGACCTCCTGCATTTTAGACACACTCTCATATAGCTTTAACTGTCCTAAAACTTGCTTTGTGGACCAGGGTGGCCTTGAATTTGCAATCATTTTTTGTTCCTATCTTCTAAGTGCTTGGATTTTATAGGCATACACTACCACACCTGGCTTTATGATATGTCAAATATAAAAACAAAATTACATCATCTAATGCCCTGTTTATGTTTTATCTGCCTTCATGATTATAAAATATGTGTAGTTCAATTTTTACTTGAAAATCTATCTTAATTTTTAATTCTACTTTATCAAAGATGATGATATTAATGATGAAGAATTTTATGATGACCATTTGGAAGCATATTTTGAACAACTGGCCATTCCAGGGATGATATATGAAGCAGGAGAACAGGAGTCACCAGAAAATGTTTTTAAGTTACCTGTAAGTGATCCCAGCAAAGTATGTTTTAGTCTTTGGTGGTTTTTATCTTATTTAGAAATTTGACATAAATTACTCTGTCTCATTAGAATTTTTTTTATGTTGTTTTGAGATATGTAGACCAGGCTGGCCTCACCTGAGGATGACCTTGATGAACTTCTCATCCATTTGCCTCTACCTCCCCAGTTGCTAGTTGTAGAGTTTTGTGTCCCCACACCTGGTTCATTGCATGTCAACATTAGACTTAAGCCTGTGGTTTTCCTGTGCATTTCCAGTTGATAATTAGATTTTTCTATTTCCTCTTTGTCCTCACCTAAGAAAGTATAAAAAGGAGGTTAAGAATTTTAGCACTTTGGAAGCTGATTCAGGAGGATTAGGATTTCAAGGCCAGCCTGGATTACTTGCAAGAAGGCAGGGCAATGAAGAAAGTGTAGTCAGTCGGCATTCTTTTTCTGCATTAAGCAATTAACATATTGCTATAGCATTTTTTTCTTCCCTCTGAATCATTATAAACAAATTGCAAATGATTTATGTCTATACACTAAATTTATTACCAGTGAATGAGTAAGAACATTTTCTCAGCAAACCACAATGTTGTTATATGCCTTTCGTACAGTAGTTTAAAATTAAGATATATTTTATGTATATAGATATTTTGCCAGCATGTATGTCCGTGGACTGCTTGCATGCCTAGCGCCCTCAGAGGCCAGAGTAGACTGTCAGATCTCTTGGGATTGCAGTTACAGATAGTTGTGAACCACTATATGGGTGCTAGAACCAAACTCAAAATCCTTTAGAATAGCAGCCAGTGCTCCTCCTCATTGAGCCCTCTCTCCAGCCTCTTTTAAGTTAATGTCCATATTAAAACTTGCCCAGTTATCTCTAAAGTATTCCTTATGTTTACTGTTTATGATTCATAGTTTAATCAACAGCTATGTGACCTGTGGGTTTCTTTGTTCTAACTTGTAATTCTTTCATATATTAAGCATTTTATAATATTTAGGCTCTTTGTTTTTGTTGACTCGTAGCATGGAAACATCTGATTGTTATTTCACCTGATTAGAATAGGTTAAGCATTTGGCAGGAGTTCTAGTGATTGTTTCTCTCCTGAGCAAGCGGATTGCACATGTGCTGTGTACACAGCCCTTCACATCAGTGGATGCATCTGTGGTTCTACCATGGCTGCTCAATGTCTCCTGATGCAGAGGATTTTTGTCCTTTGTGATGAAGTCATCTGTGGGATTCCACATCAAGGCCTTGTATACATCCACAGTGCATCTACAAGTGACTTGAGCATGACCACACTTTAAAGTTGGGTTTTGGTAAATTGCTTGACTTTGCTTCATACATAGTCCAGGATATACTGAATACCATATAGGCCATTTATTTATAGAATAAGCATTTTATAGCAATTGCATTGCTTTGTCCATTAAATATTAAAATGAGTGTGAAAAATGAAACTTACTGTTGGTTCATTAATTTTTAAAGGCTTGTGTAGGAGAGGATGTTGTGGTGAAGGAGCTGTGTGCTGAGGATGAGACACTCAGCCTAACCTACAGTCACAGCACACATGATGCAAAAGGTGGCTTTTACTCTGCTGACTCCAAAAAACAGGATTCAGAGTCGCTGCACCAAAATAAGCATTTGGCTTCAGATTTAGAAACTGTCTTGAATGTGGATAGATGCTTAAACACAGAGACTCCTGTAGTATTTATTAAAAAAGATGGGAACATCACGTCTGTGAAGACCAGTGGTAACAATGGAATTAATTCTCCTGATAATCTTTGGTCACCAACTTGTGAAAGGAGAGCATGTGAATTTTATGAGTCTGTTGCAAAGACTAATGACCGTAAGTGGACTATTTTATTTTAAATAGAATTAAAGAATGTATAAGATATTTATGTATTCAGAATAGGCTAAGCTTCCAAGTAGAAATCTGTCTGATTATGTTGAAGTATTTAAATGTTTTTATGGATTTTTAAAAATTATTTTTTAAGTTTTCTTTTTATTCATATACCATACTACTGACGATAGCCTTCTCTCCTTCAGTCTTCCTAGTCCTCGCTAGTCCCCAACCCTACAGATCCACTTCTCATTTCCCTTAGAAAAGAGCAGGCTTCAAAGAGATATCAACCAAATGTGGCTTAACAAGATACAGTAAGACTGGGTACAAACACTCAAATCCAGGCTTAGACGAGGCAATCGCAGGAGGGAAAGGATCCCCAAAGCAGGCGAAAGAGTAAGAGACAGCCTACTCCTACTGTAGAAGTCCCACAAAAACCCAACCTAAACAACCATGTAATACATTGTTGTCACATTCTTCCTCTGGGACTGTCCTCTGGAGTATAAATAACTCCCCAGTAATTACATTACTGAAGAAAATGTTCTCCTCTCCCGTAACAGCTCTTGACTGCCACTGGTTCCCCCGGGTAGGGCAGGACCCCATGAACTCCTCCCCATTTTATTATAGGTTTTGTAGATTTAAAAAATATATTAGTATTGCATGATTGTTGCTCAGAAATAATAATGTTAAGCAGATACTAGTGCAAATGTACCTTTCTGAGTCTTTTCCCTCATACCTCATTCTTCATTATAGACTTGTGGATAAGCTTGTGTAGTTGCCATCAAAGAGATAATTTTCTTTTGGGGAAATTAATTTTCCTTTTTCTAACCAATTTTGAGTAGATTTTAGCACCATTGTTACGTAAGTTGTTACATGTATCATTCAATTGTTTTGGAATTTACTCTTTAGAAACAGGTCTCTCACAGAATGTAGTCTACCAGAATGAGGATGGCAAATGGGTCACTGACCTTGCCTACTTCACATCTTTTATTGATCAGCAAGATTTACAGATGTCTCCAAATAATGAAATGAATGAAGACTTCATATCTGGTTGTAAGTGTCTAGATAACCACTTTTATTGTGCCAGATTCATTGTTTATGGTGATGCTTTGAGTCTTGTCGGCCTGTATTAGTCAGTTATATAAAGTCCTTTCTGAAATACAGTTGTGTTTTGGAAATTCTTTAATACAAAGGATGTAGAAAACTTACAAGTCTTGGTAGAAGGAAACAAAGGATGAGGCCTAACAAGTAAACATTTAGGGGAAGATACAGGACTGCTTTAATGTTTAAACAGTGAAGAATTGAGGTGACAAATGAAATTATTATTTTAGGTTAGCTAATAATTAATTATATTTAAATAATTACATTTTTCTAAAAGTACGAAACTCTTCTTTCTTAATGTCCATGGCTGATTTTTGAGGAGCAGAAAAGGCAACACTAGAGTATTGCAGATAATTAAATGAGAAATCCCTTAGAAAAAGTACTTTGAACTATAAATAGTATTTTGAGTTATCAGTCTAATACTTTAAACACTGTGATGCTTAACTCATGCAAGCAAATTAAGGTTCTGTGTTATCTTCCTATGAGCTGAGTTTCCTATTTGGCCTTTGTTGGCTGTTAGATTTAATTGATTGATGCTTTCATATTTTACCATAGTGTTTTTTGCTTCTTTTGAGTTGTAGTTTCACATAACGTCTGTGTATTCTACATACTATTTTGCATCTAATTTTGGGGGCTAATTTAATGGTTCTCCTAATGTTCAGTCATAGGTCCTCTGTTACGGTGATTGCTTCAGCAGGCACATACTTAGCATTGTTCTGGAAGTAGGAATCTTGAGCTGTTTTTGGCGCTCAGAATTTCCTGACTAGAAGCAGAACTCTTTCTGTTCTCATTTGTGTCTTAAGTTGTCTACTAGAGACTATTTGTCCAAAGTGATAGTTTGGATCTAATGAGTTCTTTGTGGGCACATGAGAGGCCAGTGTCCTTGTTTGGGCCCTGTATGGACTTTCCCTTTTGGCTCATTCTTCTCCTTTCTGTACAGTCTTAAAGTAGCAGGCAGAGGCCTGGGCCATAGACAAGCAGGCCAGATCCTGGTCTCGTGTTAGCTTGCATTATGTTTAAGATATCCAGGCAAGTGCTGTGGCTCCTGTTTCTTTTTGGCCATGCGTGGCTCCTGTCTTTCTTATTTTGTATTCTTTGGCTTAGAGATTAGGATATGTGATCAGGTGGTACTCATTAGGATGTTTAAGGTCAGATATTAGAGGACTACCTGTTTCTGAGTTGTTCTGGGATGTGGGACTTTGTAAGGCTGGTACATTCCCGGCCACACAAGTACATGAGCATTCCAGCAGTTGTCTTTGAAGTAACCAATTTCTAGTAACTAATTTTTAGTCAGATGAAACCCCGTGTATATATGTAGACAAGTTTGTCTTTTTGTTTCTTTTTAATGATTTATTTTTATTATTTTAAAAATTATATGTATGTTTGTGTGTAGGTATGTACACATAAGTGCAGGTGCCTACAGAGGCCAGAGGAGTTGGATCTCATTGGAGCTGGAGCTACAGGTGATTGTGAGTCACCTGATAGAGGTGCTGGGAAATGAAGTCTGGTCCTTTAGAAGAATAGTGCATGCTGTTAACTACAGAGCCATCTTTTCAGCTCTAGACAGACAGACCTACTTTCTCTCTCTTTCTGTTGGCTCTTTGAGACATTGAGATAGGTTCTCTCTATGTAGCTTCTGATTCCTAGAATTCACACCGTAGACCAGGCTGGCCTCAGACTCACAGAGATCTGTATGCTTCTGCCTCCCAAGTGCTGGGATGCAGTGCTATGCCATTACACCCTGTCAGACATAATTCTTAATTTATGTGTAGTCAACTCTTTAAAGCTAAAAGAATGAGTATTTTATTTTGTGTTTGAGCATGTATTGTATGTATTGTGTGTGTGTGTGTGTGTGTGTGTGTGTATGTATGTGCGCAGATGCAGGTAAACATGCAACTGTTGCATCTTGTGACTCGTGTACAGAGATCAGGACAAACTCAGATGCTTGTCCTTTTTTTATCCTCCCCCCCGCACCCCCAGAGGCTTCCTCTTATCTTTTATTCACTGCTTAGCTGGCCCATGAGCTTCCAGAGTCTCCTTTATTGATTATATGACCCCTTCCATATTCTTGCAGGACACAGGGATTATAGACATGTGTGCTACCATGTCTGGCTTGTATGTGGGTTTTGGGAATTTGAACTTAGGTCTTCCTGCTTACATGGGAAGTGCTTTACCCACTTAGCCATTTCATGAGTCTGGAGTTTTTCTTGTTACGGCAAGGAATCGTGCTTTGTTAACTAGGTTATTTGCAAGCCCCTGGGCTCAAACGATTCTCCTGCCTCAGCCTCCTGAATAGCAGGGACTATATGTACATGCCATCATGCTTGCACTTGATTGGAATTATATGTAAATACCTTTCACAAATTAATTAGGGCAAATTTTCACAGAAACCTGAAATCAGTCACAGTAGTGTTTGTTTTAATGGAAATTTGACAAGCTTGCATACTTAGTATAATTGTATAAGTCATGTGAATGGAAGTTTTACATAGTTAAAAAAAAACTGCATTTCAGGAACTCTAGGGAGTTGGGCTCAATAGATAAAAGTGCTTGCTGTACTTTTCCAGCAGTTGTCTTTGAAGTAACCAATTTCTAGTAACTAATTTTTAGTCAGATGAAACCCCGTGTATATATGTAGACAAGTTTGTCTTTTTGTTTCTTTTTAATGATTTATTTTTATTATTTTAAAAATTATATGTATGTTTGTGTGTAGGTATGTACACATAAGTGCAGGTGCAAGTGCAAGTGCAAGTGCAGTCATGAGGGCCTGAGATCTGACTCCCAGTATTCATGTCAAATTGGGGTCAGAAGGTAGGAGGTGATGTGCACTTGTAACCCCAGTGAGGGCTGGGGTAAAATAGGCAGATGCTAGGGCTTGGCAGTATAGGTGAAAGAGTGAACTTCAGGGTCAGTGAGAGACCTTCCCTCCTATGTGCACCCATTCCCAGGAGAAAAAGTATGTTCTTATTATTTCATTTTTTAAAATTTGCTTTTTGTGTGTACTAATATAAAATAAATATAAAAACTTGTTTTTCTTTTAGCTGAAGCACTGGATTTAATTGCAAAAGATGAAGAGGAATTCAATAAAGAACATCCATTTATACAGGTTTGTAATTACTTGTTCCAATCTAAATTTAAATTTTTCTTGTATTAGTTTAAGTTTAGATTAAAAACTCCCCTGGCAGTTAATAATTCACATTTTTTTTCATGTTATGACAACTTTAACTCTTTTGTTCTAAATTATTAGTTGAATACTGATATATTAAAATATATCTTTGGAAGGGAATGTAGGTTACTGCCATAACAGTTGCCTGATACATAAAACCCTGTACTTCATTTACAGTGCTTACACATAACAGAAATAAAAACAGAACAGTAACTGTATCTTTATCTTAAAAAGGTCTGCATTCATTTCTTTATTGTGTGTCTGTGATAGGGGATGCTTAGAGCCAGTATGTGTGTACTGACACATGTGTGGAGGTCAGAGGACAACTTTTGGGAGTAGATTTTCTTCTTTCATGTGTCCTGAGCATCAAGCTCAGGTTGTCAGGCTATTGGTCTAAATGTTTTGAAAAGAATTAAACAAATATTTTTGGCTGTGTGTATATATGTGTAAGTATATGCATGTGAGTGCAGGTGCTGTCCGATCTCTATGGAGCTATAATTTCAGGCAACTGTGAGCCATCAGCTAGAAGTGGGTGCTGGGAATGGTTTATGGGTCCTCTGCAGGAATAATAGTATACACACTTAGCCCCTAAACTCATCTTTAAGTAATTAACTCTGTGCTTTTTAAAAAAATGTTTTAAGGAAGATAATCCTATTTATGTTGAGAAAAGATGTGTATATTCTAATTTGTGGGAGTGTTTGTTTAATATATTGAGACAGAGCATATTATAACAAGTATGCAAAAATGAGTTCTTCTGTGGACTTCGGTAATTGGTCATTTTTATGTTTATATCAATGTTTTGGGCCACAATTTGAAAAAGTTAATATTTAAGTTTTCTTAGTTCTTTTATTTGTAAGCTTCACATATTAGAAGAACAAGGAGAGAACCCTTGTTGAAGAAAAAAATGAAATAAGTTTTTTTTTTTTTTTTTTTTTTCTAGGATGAAAAAATAGATGTTCAGAATACTTCGCTCTCACTTGGGGATACATCCTGGGTAGCTACAGTTAATTACCATTTGTTGAGAAAATCACTAGGCACATCCGATTTTGATAAAGATGATGGCAGTTATCTACGCCTCTCATTAGGAGAGTTCTTTGCACAAAGATCTGAAGCTCTTGGTTGCCTTGGTGGTAGTAACAGTGTGAAAAGAGTAAGTATGAAATGTGCTGTAAGTGGTAAAACTCACTAATGTCTTTGTGTTGCTGTGCCACAATGTCCAAGACTGGATAAGTAATACAGAAAGGCTTGTTTTGGCTCACAGTTCTGGAGGCTGAAAAGATCAGATTGCCACATCTGGTCAACTTCTGGTGAGGGCCTTGTGCTGTTGCAGCAACCCATAGTGGAGAAGTGAGTCTGTGTGAAAGGGCTATGTATGTAAGAGAAAGCAGAGAGAACTGAACTTACTTTACTCATAGTGGAGAAGTGAGTCTGTGAAAGGGCTATGTATGTAAGAGAAAGCAGAGAGAACTGAACTTTTTGCCTTAATTTGACCACTTTTCTGAGAGCCACCCTAATGTTTTCCTGAGGGTACATCCCTTTTTGACCAAAATCCTCTGAGAGACCCTACCACCTTACAACCATGTTAACCAAACCTCAGTGTGAGTTTTTATGGGGACAGCCACAGTACCAGGCTTTTTACTTTCAATGTTATGGTTCTATATTTAGAACATGCAACTTTAAGGCATAGGCAGAATGGGAGGTTGGCAGAATAGTGGTTAAAAACTTAGGTTTTATGGTCAATTAGACTTGGTTTCAATTCTGGTTCTGCCTTTTAACAAGTTCTATGACACTATACAGTTTGTCTTCTGTGCCTTAATATTCCCATTTTCTAAAGTATAGTACTGTTTTATGGGATGTTTTAAGATTGAAATGTTGCTACATATGAAGCAGTTAACATAGGTAAGCACTGAGTAACTTTTGGTATTGTTATGTGGTAGGAAGAATTCTAGGATTCATTTATTCCACCCATCTGCAAAGATATTTTGAAATGTTGGAATGTTTTGATTTAAAAAAAGTGATAGGAGCCGGGCACTGTGGTACATGCCTTTGATTCCAGTACTTGGGAGGCAGAGGCAGGTGGATTGATATGGGCTGGAGGCCAGTGTGGTCTACAAAGCGAGTCCAGGACAGCCAAGGCTACACAGAGAAACCCTGTTTTGAAAAATCAAAAACTAACCAACCAATCAAACAACAAAAAAAGTTATAGGTATACAGATTTTAGTGATAAATGCTATTAACAATGACTGAGTAGAAGACATTGAACTGGCATCATATGATAAAAAAGAGGAAATCATCCAGAGATCCAGAGAAACAGTGTTCCCAATAAAGGAAAAAACATATGTGTGAGATCTAGAGGCAGGTATCAGAGTGGTCCATCAAAGGCAAATAGAACTAATCTGAGGAGCCAGAGTGAAGTTGGTAGAGTAGGATATTAAAAGACTTGCAGTCTTTTTAAAGTCCGGCACTGGGGAGACTGAGGCAAGAGGTCCTAAATTAGAAGTCAGGGTGAGCTGAGCCATATTAAACTGTCAACAGATGTAAATAAATAACAAAGACCTGATCATCAGGGCTTTCCTGTGGGGGTTGTCGATATCTCAGATGAACTTCCAGGAAGGACTTGGAGGCACAGAATTTCTTGGTCATGTTGTTTAGGTTCATTTCCACATTGCCACTACCTTTGCCAGGGACCTACATCTTCCAATACCACAGGCTGGTCACTATGGCACAGTATTGTTGATTATTAATATTTCTTATTGATTTAACTTTTAGTTATTAAAACAGCGGTTATTCCTAAACCAGCTGTATACTACCCAAATCACCACACAGAGACTAGGATTTACATAATTAACCTAGAGCACAATGCTGGTCAATAATTACTCCATCCTAAACCTCCAAGCCCATATAGTTTCCTCCCATTCAGATTTACCACATTATACTTGCTTTTAGTCATATCTTAGGTCTGGTTCATCTCTCCTCATAGTTCCAAGTCCTCTCCTGCAGATCTTTGCTCTCCTACTCTTCCCACTCGCTTCCTTCTCCTACCCTCCGGACCAGGCTGTCCCACCCTATTCTCTCCATTGCACAGTGTTGGCTGGTTGTTTATTGAAAATATAGAGAACAAATGGTGGCATGTTTATACAAACTTGAGACAGGTGATGCTCTTAGAATAAACATCACAATGCAATATCGGGATTGAAACCAGATAGTGGTGTAGAAAAATCAGTATTTGAATGAACAAGGGTGAATTGTATAGCTCCCACAGGAACATTATACCAATATTTCCCTCTTTAGGTCCAATAAAAGGCTCCTTTTCTTTCAATATAATAATAATTATAAAACAGAAAACTATTTTTAAGATTTACATTTACAATGTCCAGTTCATGTGCTTTTGGCAAGTTAGTAGAAAGTATTTGATTTTCCTATTTTGACAAGTTTAGAGTTCTATACGTAAATTAACTTTTATCCTTATTAGTATTGCCTATATGAAAACAGTTTCTTAAATTCTAAACAACTTAAGCTTAAAACATTTTCTTAAATTCTAAACAACTTAAGCTTAATTGTGGAACTGTAACTGTTTGATCTTCAACCTCACCAGAGACTTGAGAAGGAATAAAATTAGTTCCTGGAGTAAATAGGAAGTGCATGTTAGCAGCTTTAAAAACATAAAAAGTTGACAGAGAAAGTTTGCTGCCTGAACAGTCACCCAAAACACTCTATAACTTGGAGCATCATCTTCAGCCTTCTGCCTCAGTATATTTGACAGACATATATATGAAGCCGGAACTATTTAGGACTTGCTTACCCTGCTTTGGCAGAGTTGGGCAGTAGACCTGTCCTGCATTTAAGCTTGCCCATTTTTGGCAGAATTTTGTCTGTCGTGAGACAAGGGCATTTTCTTTTTGCCCAGGTAGCTTGTTTGCCACATTTGAAGCCATCTCCATATAGAGGTTCTTCGATGCTCATCATCTTCTTTGAGGTAAGTAGGGTGCTGCCAGGAGATGGATGACCTGTCTCATTGTCAAAGAATCTTTAAAATAATAGACATTTTAAAATGCCATATTCTGTAGGTCTCTGAGGTTTTTGAAGACTTACCTATCTTCTTATATCTGTTAAACCCAAGGATGTATACTCCTGGGGTAAATTAGACTAGTGTCTCATATGACTATAAGTTGATTAACTAGCAATTAACTTGCATTACCTAATACCCTAAACAGTTTGAAATAGAAGTTTAAAAGTATTGGAAGTAACCTTGAATTTGTATCAAAATACTAAAATTTACCAGTGTATTAAAAGTAGACTTATTTTTGCATCAATATACAACATCCTATATCAGAGTTAAAAATAACCGTATTTGAGAATAACAAATAAAGCCTTAAGTAGATTCAATAATCTACGTTTTTTCTTATTATTCCTATAAGACATTCCTGTATTTCCCTTTCTTTTCAACCACTTTTTTCTTTATCTAAGGAAGAAAAAGGAAAAGGGAGAAACCCCTGAGTCTAACCTTGTTTTCTCTCTGAATAAGAAAAATTATTAATAAATTTATAACCATCTCCTAATGACAGTAAACATTCATAGCTACAGAAAATAATAGAAAACCTACCCTACCCCCTTAAAGGAAATTGGATGTCATTCTCATGAATTTTTTTCTAGCTGACTTTTTGGACTGCAGAAATCCTGTTTAGGGAGCCCAAAGTAAATTGGGAAAAATGGTTAATTAAGTAAGCATTAACATTTGTGGTCCATTCTTTGAATGTTGAGAAATTTCAGGCTTAATAGAAGTCCTGTTTGGAACACTCTAAAATGCTGGATCAATTGAGATTAGTAGCTTCCTTCAAAGCTCTCTTGGGACCTGGCTTTGATGAGAAACAGCAATTGAAGCAGTTGAGGTAGGAACAAGCAGATTGCTGGAACCTGCAAAATGCTGAAACAGAGATGTCAATGTCTCAGCATGCTGGAAGGATGAATTCTGTCAGGTGTGATCCAGTGTCTCTGGTGTGTCCAGTCCTTTTGTTCTGCAAACATAATTTCTAACAAGCATTATGCAGTCCTAAAATTATAAATGTATGAGATGTGCAGGATGAAACTAAAATATAAACTAATTTTATCTATGCCAGTTGAAAGAATGGCATAAGAAATTGTGAAGGGATCATCAATTTATGGTACCTGTTTTGTTTAGTCTTCTTTTTTAAACTTTTTTAAAAAAATAATTTATTTAACTTTATTCTTTTTGTGCATTGGTGTGAAGGTGTCAGAATTCATGGAACTGCAGTTACAGACAGTTGTGAGCTGCTATATGGGTGCTGGGAATTGAACCCCGGTCCATCTCTCCAGCCCTTTTTTAAACTTTTAATGACATTTTTTGTTTTTTTAATAATTTATTTAATTTTTATTTTATGTGCATTTAGTGTGAAGGTATCCTGCAGACAGTTGTGAACTGCCATGTGCGTGCTGGGAATTGAACCTGGGTCCTTTGGAAGAGCAGATAGTGCTCTTAACCACTGAGCCATCTCTCCAGACCCCTGTTTAATCTTGATTTCTCTCTTCTTGTGCGTGGCCAAAATCTTCAGGTGGTTTTTCTCTGTCATATCTGATTTTTATTAGTTTTGATGGTACCCATAATTTTTCTTCTCCTGTATGAATATAAGCAAAACTTCTTCCCCAGCGTAACACATTCCCTGTTCTCCATTTTGGAATTAGGATCTTTATATGCTGCTCTAAATTAGCAGTCCTTTCTGAATTCCATTGTGTCTTAGCAGGTGTGCTACTTATCTCATTTAAACATTTTAAAATTGATAAATCATTTAATCTATTTTAGGGAGATATTATATTTACCTTCTGTTTTATGACGATCTTTTTAAAATTACTGTTAGATATTTTCATAATTGTTTGACCTATAGGATTACAAGTTACATCTGTAACAGATTTCATGTTATAATGTCTAAAATATTGTTGAATTCCAACGGATATACATGCTGAAGCACCTTCAGTTTGCAAGGACATGGTCAAAACATTCACCATCTCTGACAAATGTGTAACCTTAGGATCAAGCTCTCCAGAATTTAAGGCAAAAGCCCACTGGAATTCTGAATATCAATCTATGTCATGGTGTATGTATTTCAGTTCTCCAAACTATGTAAAATGGAGCACACCAGCCACTGTATGACCTTGTTCCAAGACAACACTAAACAGGATTTCTGTTTCTACTTTAGCATGTATACCTTTATCTAGTAACTGAACCTTAAGAATATACATACAATATCCAGTCTGACCCAAGTTGGGCTATAGCTGAAGGCTTTTTCTCCAGCGTCTTAATGGGCTGCCATTTTGCAGTATCTTCAAGCCTCTGTGGACTTTTCTCATCTGGAACCACCTCTTTCAGTGTTATTGTAAGTACCAGATTGGACTGTTCCAAAGGCTCTCTATTTTGATTCAAAGATTCCCCCAATCTCTGTTCTGTGGCCTTTAACTTAGCAACTATTTTCACAGTCTCTTCTTTTTCCAAGCCTGTCTTATCCTGATCTTTCCCAAAAAGGATATACAAAACTGAAATCATCAGTGAAAAAAATTATTTGTATACTAAGAGAAACAAACTCAAATGGTATCCAGAAGCACTATATCATTGTGTCTTCCTCCATTTTCAACATAGAAAATTATCTTTTTTAATCTCACAATCTCTCCCTAAGGACTTTACTTTCTTAGACCCAGCTTCCCTTTCAGACCTTACCAGTTCAGATGCTTGAGGCTTCTCTGTCTCTGGCTCCTGTTTCCAGGGAGATGTATTTTTTCTGCCTCACTCACTGGATCCTGACCCCTTCCGCACTCTGGGAAATTATTGGGTCCACAAAAGTTTGCTACTTAGACCTGCAAGAACTCCTTCTCAATGGATTTTGCTCTCTGCCTGCGCTGGCAAAGTCTGGCTTTGAGAAGCTTCCTTGTTAAAGAGATACATGTTTTCTATTCGGAAAGAAATGCCTCCCTGGGTTTTGTATGTATCATTGTTTTTCTGCAGCCTGCGGGAGGCCTTGCTGGTCTGCAGGGGGCCTGTCTAATCAGGACTCTGTGAGCTCCTCGTTGAGGAACTTCCTTTACTTTGTTTTTAAGGACAGAACTAAAAAACTGCTCTATAGTTTTATTTTCTATATAAGTTCTTTCTAGATTACTGTAAATTCTGCCACATGTTCGCATGCCGTTTGTTGTTAGTTATTAGCATTTATTATCTATGTCTTTTAGTTAAACAGTGATTATTCCTAAACTAGCTGTATACCCAAATCACACAGACTAGGATTTACTTAATTTAGCGCACAAAGCTGGTAACAGTTACTCAATCCTAAACCTCCAAGCCCGTATAGCTTCCTCCCATTCAGAGTTTCCAACACTGTACTTGCTTTTAGTCATATGTTAGGTCTAGTTCATCTCTCTTCATAGTTCCAAGTCCTCTCCTGCATATCTCTGCTCTCCCACTCTCTTCCTTCTCCCTATTCTCTCCATTGCACAGCACTGGCTGGTTGTTTAATTGACAATAGAGAGAACAAATGGTGGCATGTTTACACAAACCTGAGACAGGTGGTGCTCTTAGAATAAGCATCACAATGCAATGTCGGGATTGAAACCAGCTAGTGGTGTAGAGAACTCAGCATTTGAATGTACAAGGGTAAATTGTATAGATCCCACAAGAACATTAAACCAACAGCACAGTATATTGAAATCACAGTTTCTAGCTGAGCAGAATAAAAAATAGTTTTAAGAAGATATATTTATTTTATGTATATGAGTATTTTGCCCTTATGTATTTATGTGCCCAGTGTGCATGCATGGTGCTCCTGGAAATCAGAAGAGGAAGTTGCACTTGGTTGTGAGCTATCATGTAGGTGCTAGAAACTGAACCTAAGTCCTCTGAAAGAGCAGTCAGTTTTCTTAACCATTGAGCTATCTCTGCAGTTCCTAAATTAATTAATTTTTTAAAAAATTAAAAATTATGTGTATATATGCATGTATCTGTGTGTTGATTTGTGCACCTCCTTATAGTACCTGCAGAAGCCAGAATGGGGTGTCCACAGTTGTGAGTTGCCAGATGTGGGTGTTGAGACCCGAACCTGGGACTTGTGCAAGAGTAGTATACAGTACTGAGCCGTTTCTCCAGCTCCTGAATGTTAAACCATGCTTTTGGACCATGTAGTGAATTAAAAAATGAAACTCTTGAAATAGGTGGATTGATTGGGGTTCATTGCCAGATTGTCTAGACCTGTCAGCTACCCAAGTAGCTTAGGCCTTATCTTAGGTTTGCTCCCAGCTGGCTCATATATCTTAAATTAACCCATTTATACTAAAGTACATTCTGCCACATGTCAGTCCCCGCATCTGTTTCCTCTGAGTCTGCCTGCTGACTCTCTGGCACCTGATTCTTTCCCCAAGTTCTTATCTATGCCTGGAAGTCCCACCTATTCTCTCCTGCCTTGCATTGGCCATTCAGCTCTTTATTAAACAAATCAGAAGGTAATGGAGAAGAATACAAAACAGGTGATGCAAGACAGGGGATGCTTCATAAAAAAAACAGCACTCAAATCCCAGCCTGTACCCAACTCTTCCTGTATCGAGATCAGTACTTGAGTAATGCAAAGACAGCTTTACACAGGGCATAAGCACATTATCCCAACTGGGGCTTTAGAGACTTTGAAGAAATTGTTTTGCCTTGATTTTGAGTCAGTGCCTCACGATGTAGCCCAGGCTGGCCTTGATTTGTAGTATTCTTATATCTTACTCTGTGTTTGGATTGTAGTTGTGTGTCACTATACTTGACTCTGAATTTTATTTTATTTTTTGATATAGGGGCTATATCTAGCTCTGGCTAACTGGAAAAGTAAAGCAAGCTAGACTTGAAGTTATAGACTTGTCTTTGCCCCCTTAGTGTTGGGATTACAAGCGTGTGCCACCTTGCATTGCTTTCTGAATTCCTTCTTAAACAGATGAACACAACATAGATCTTAGGAAAAGAGGTCTGACACAGAGTTTTTATTTGGTATTGTAAAATTTCATATATTCAGTTTACTAGATCAAGGGAAGAAAGTTCTAAATGAATATCCACTAGAATCTGAAGTCATAATTTTAGATCTGTGATATGAAAGTTATGTAAGAAAAGTGCAAATTTAGTTCTCTTCAGCAATCCCCTTGTGCCTAGATCTTTCTGAAACTTCCATGAAAGTCAGTGGGAGTATGCTTAATTTCAAGACATGTTTTCTGCAGGTTAATCTATAGAGCAAAATATGCTATATTAAAGTTCTACCTCATTTACCCCTCTCCATTCAGAAAATTGCCTAATAAAGAGTGAATGTTCATAACAGTTATTGAAGGACTGACAGAAATGTCACTTCTGAATTGTTGGTTTTTGAGTTTTTAGGAAGGTTTACTTAATGATGTCAGTTACAGTGATTAAATAATAGCTAGGATTGAAGAAACAAGGTTTTGTCTGCAGCAGCTCTTCACCCTGTGTTGGATGTAGAACCCAGGTCTTTCCATGACAAACAGGTCCTACCACCAGCTCAAAAATTCTGGGCTTTTGAAGTTCACCTCTAGTTATTTGAAGTCAAATGACAATAGATTTGTTGAAGTCATTTGGATGTTTTAATAGTATTAGGTAAAGTAATCTAGAGCTTTTCAAAGTGGTTGGAAATTAAGGAGACTAATTCATGTTTATTTTTGCAGCCATCATTTGGTTATTTTATTAGATCACCAGAGGAGAGAGAACCTTTTTCTCTAATAAAATCCGATGTGTCGAGAAGTAATTTGGAAAAAGAAGTGACTCCTCTTCACCATGATTTATTTTCAGGTAGTGGATTAAAGACTTCAATGAACTTTTTTCTTAACTTGTAATTGTGTGATCATATCCTCTGTGGGTGAAGATGTATATACATTGCTTTGTAACATTTTATCATTGGTTGTAGATTTGATTTTTATATAACCTCACTTTTCTTGAAAGTTAGAAGACAGATAAAATCCACCCCAATTTTTGTATAAGCTACTATAGCAAATGAGAGTAATTTCAAATGACCTAGTTAAATTTTGCTTATTAAATTATTAGTGTTAAGGAATAATAGAAATTATATTTATCATCTAGATAGATTTTAAAGAGATGCTTTGAAATTTTTTTTTCTTGAGACAGGGTTTCTCTGTGTAGCCCTGGCTGGCCTGGACTTACTCTGTAGACCAGGTTGGCCTTGAACTCAAAAATCCTAAAGGTGTGTTCAATATTCCTGGCTGATAGAAAATATTTTAATTTAGACTTTGTTAGTTAATTTGTTGAGCCATTCCTCTTTGCTAATCCAATGTCTTTTGCTGCATGGATATGAAGTTGAATTGTAAGCTGCTTAAACTCTGTAGCCTTTCAGTTGAGACCTACTTTAGTCCTTAGCATAACTGTGGCTCTTCTGTTAACACCTTTAGCATATCAGAAGCCATTTTGCCTCCAACTCTCCATTTTGATAATAAGGTGAAATTACGTTCAAGTTCTCAGGCTGTATGTGCCTGAGACCAGGGTACAATTTAATAGTTCAATACTTGCTGCTTAGAATAAAAAACAGTAGATGATAAAAAGCGTGTTCTGCTTGATGTAAAGATCGAAACGTCCCGCTGTTTTTTTACTCCCAGAAAGCTGGATAAGCCCCAAGAGCTCCCCTACCCTAGGTCCCAGCCAATCAGCTTAAAATGCTTTGCCTAGCTACCTAGATACAATACAATACACTTGGAACAAAATCAATTATGTTTAGTTGGTCAAAATGATGTAATGTTGCCCCTCCCTCCCGGCTTCCTTTTCCTGGCTACCTAGTTGTTGCCTGCTTACAGTTTTTCATATAAAAAAAACCTACATTAGAAACAGATTGGCATCAGAGTCTGGTTCCTGAGACCATATTATGGCCCTGACTCGTCAGTTTTTGTTCAGCGTTCAATAAACTTTTATTAAATATGAGTCTTGTGTTTGAATAGTCAGTGTGTGACAATTCTTGAACCCATAACAGGATAATGCATGTTCCATCCTTTTTTAAAGAATTCATTATTATATGTGTATGGATATTTTGTTTGTATATATGTCTGTGTGCTGTGTGTATACCTAGTGCCTGTGGAGGCCAGAAGATGGCATTGGATCCTCTAGAACTAGAGTTAGAGACAGTTGGGTACTGAATATTGAATCCAGGTCCTCTGGAAGAGCAGCCAAGTGCTTTTTAACCATTGAACCACCTTTACACTCCCAAGATATACTCCTTTCTAAAAGAGCCTGTGTTCCAATATAGGACTGAGGATAAAGGGCCTCATTTTTTTTTTTATCATTTTGAAGTATATATAATTTTGAAATCAATATTGAAGCCTAAATATATCGAATTATTTTATATGAATATTTTAGGAATGATCAAAATCCAAAGATTTCCTTCAGAGCCTATTCTTTGTCCAGATGCTTATTATTTAAACATTCTTATGGAGGACAACTTATATTTGCAGTTCAAAGATATTTTCCTTGGCAGTTAATCTCTTTGACTAGTACTTCCTTATCTCAGATTATTTCTGAAGTACAGTAATACATGTCTTTAAGTTGAATATTGTTTATTCCTATAGGCAATTTGAATGAGCAGTCCCAGGCACAGCTAAGTGAAGGATCAGTTACACTTCAGGCTGAAGAACTGCAGAGAACTTTACAGATGGGTGAAAACGATACCACACTAACTGCCAACAGAAGCAAGACACAGGTATCTCAAACGTTTTCTAAAGAGAGTCTTACAGTGCCCTGAGACAGTTTTCAAATAAGATGGGCCAAGGTTACCTGTGAAAAATGTATGCTTTTCCTGGCTTCAATTTTATTACAATGTCCTTTAAGTGGAAACATTTTAAAAAATCAATTTATAATGTACATGTAGAAGACTGTATAAAACAGACTGCCAATGAATGAGTCACCACAGATTGTGTATTCCAGATCAATAGAAAGAACACTCAGGTGTATACAGACACTGTTTCTTCCCGTCTGATGTTACGTCCCTCTTGACTTAGCCAGTAGGTAGACTGTCAATGTCTACCTCCAGAACAGTGAAAAAAAAAAAATATTATCAATAATTGAGAATTCTTGCTGGGTGTGGTAGCACACGCCTCCCGGTACTCCGGGAGGCAGATCAATGTGAGCTTGAAGCCAGCCTGGTCTACAAAGTGAGCCCAGGACAGCTAAGGCTACATAGAGAAACCCTTGAAAAAACAAAACAACTCCGAATTCATTTTTTAAAAACTCTTCTAAACTTTACTTATTACTAGTGTCCAGCATGTTTACACTGTAGTCCTTTATGCTCTTTTTAAAGTTTGTATAAAAGAAGCCACACAGCATGCATTCTTTTTCTTTGACTGCTTTTGCTTCAGCTTTTACCTACTAGAGGAAGTCATTTTTCTTAGTGCATTGTCTTCTGTTTCATGAATGTTAGTGAATGTTTGAGATATTTGACAAGGTGCTAAAACAACCTAGTACCTCTGTTTTGTTGGCTGAAACACCCCCTCCCCCATGCCATTCTACCTCTGTTGTGCCTGTCTATGTTGAATGCAACTGAGGGTTCACATATATGGTTTATGACTTACACTGAAGGACCTTTGGCATAGTTTTTGGAGTAGCTCACCAATACAGATGACTCCTAAGGGTCTGCAATAATTTGTGTTGACATATGACCTTTCTTCACAGACTGCTATTACTCACACTTGAGTAGCTCTTTACTTCATTGTTTTAATTTGTATTCCTCTGATTGCTAATGAAGTTAAGTACGTTTATACTTTTATTGGTCTTTTAGGTAGTATTTTAATATTTTTTTATTTATTATAGTTTATTCACTTTGTATCCCCGCTCTAGCCCCCTTCCTCATCTCCTCCTAGTCCCATCCACCCTCCCTTTTCTCCCCCTATGTCATTTCCTTAGTCCCCTGATAGGGGAGGACCTCCTTCCCTTCTATCTGACCCTCCTTGCTTATCAGGTCTCATCAGGATTGGCTGTATCATCTTCCTCTGTAGCCTGGCAAGGCAGCACACCCCGCAGGGGGAGGTGAACAAAGAGCCTGCCACTGATCCCCTTACTAGGGAACCCACTTGGAAACTGAGCAGCCTGTGGGCTTCCTCTGAACAGGGGGTCCAGGTCCTCTTCATGTGTGGTCTTTTGTTGGAGCATCACTCTCTGCAGGCCCTCTTGGGCCCAGGGTTTTTTTTTTTTTTTTTTCCTCTGTTGGTCTCCTTTTAGAGTTCCTGTCCCCTCCAGGTCCTTCTATCTCCCTCTTCTTCTGTAAGGTTTCCTGCACTCTATTTGGTTATAAGTCTCAGTATCTCCTTTGATAAACTAGTGGGTAGAGTCTTTCAGAGGTCTCCTGTGGAAGGCTCTTGTCCTGTTCCTGTGTTCTCCTTCTTCCGATGTTTATCTTGTTTGCCCTTTTTTGAGTGAGGTGTTAGCCTCTTCCCTAGGGTCCTCCTTGTTTAGCTTCTTTAGGACTATAGATTTTAGTATGTTTATCCCATATTATATGGCTAATATCCACTTATAAGTGAGTATATGCCATATGTGTCTTCCTGCTTCTGGGATACCTCCCTTAGGATGATCTTTTCTAGTTCCCACCATTTGCCTGCAAATTTCATGATTTCTTTGTTTTATATTGCTGAGTAATATTCCATTATGTAAATAAATGTACCACAATTTCTGTATCCATTCCTCGGTTGAGGTTCATCTAGGTTGTTTCCAGATTCTAGCTATTACAAATAAAGCTACTATGAACATAGTTGAGCTTAGGTAGTTTTTTTATATGAAGAAGTTCTAATTTTTTGGATTTCTTTACATCTTCTCATAGGATCCTTTGGCCAGTCATGAAAGTTCCACTTATCTTATTCCAGCCTGTACTTATCCTATCTTCTCCAACATAGGGTCTCACTGTGTAGCTCTAGTTAGTCTTGGATAGACTGCGTTGTCCTGGCTGGGCTCAAACTCTTGTCAGTCTTTCTGTCTCAGCCTCCTCAGTACTGTGATTACATATGAGAGTCGCCATGCCTGGCTTATTAGCCTTTTAACTTTTTTTTTGGAACTGGAGTTACAGACAGTTGTGAGCTACCATGAACCTAGGTCTTCTGGAAGAGCAGCTAGTGCTCTTAACCGTTGAGCCATCTCTCCAGCCCCCAGCCTTTTCACTCTTAATTGTATCTACTTTTCTTTTTGTAATTAATTCATGCTTTCTCTATTTCACTAATATATTTACTTTATAATAAATCAGAGATCCAACATAAGGTCTCTTTAATCTTTCTTTCTTTCTTTCTTTCTTTCTTTCTTTCTTTCTTTCTTTCTTTCTTT